ATATTATATATATAAGGTTTGTTTGGGATATGGCGAGCAGACATTTATGTGTCAGTTGTTGCAGGAATTATGGTAGGCTGATTAGTCTGCTGATTATCTATAAACTCGAGCGCTCACAGGAGCTAAGACATGATTAATGTGTGGTATGGGTACTGCTCAACTCCTTGTCAGGCTTGGGTAGTTAGGTAGTTCCGTATAGTGATGTAGAAAACTATGAGACAGTTTGGTCAGTGTATCGGGAAGATTGTATACCAGATTTGTGCCTAACCTCTCCACTAGCCGTATGAACAAATTAAACTAGTCGTTTATCTGTACACCTTCTACACCATCATCGCAATACTTAAAATGTATCTAATATTTTTTTTTAATTCTACATTTTCGCGTTGTTTAGCAATTCGAAGCTGTTGGTCTCGAGGGTGTGACTATCCCGCCATACATGTTCGAGTACACAAACTCTGAACTGGTGAAAGTGACCTTGTTTGGCGCTGATAGACCGAAGTGTTCTGGTCTTATTGTCACAAGCAAGCGTGCCGCACTGTTGTTAAGCGATGGTAAGGGCAAGCTTCTGCCAAGGTTTGTAAAGGTGTAATTGAATTTGTGTACGATATTCTGTTTGCTTTGAGCTCTGTGAAGGAACATTGACTTTATATATTTGATATTTTTGGATTGTCATGTTTGTTAGGTTGTGTGTGTGGAGCTGTACAACCGAGTAGATCACCATGATTGCTCACTTTGAATTTTCGGCTTCACAAAGCAAATAATACGCATGCAGAAATTCACTGATGCTTATGGGTGACGGTAGATAGGCCACATACTGTTCATGTGTTTCATTTTTGCTTGTGCATTCGATTGTGTAGGTTTTTATCATATATTCCTACGAATGCCTTTACGTATACGCTCCAATATCGTACGTTTATTTATAATATATATATATATATATATATAAGATATATAAGTATCGGTGTAACTGTGCTTCAGTTACAAGTGACATTATTTCGTTCGCGACAGTATAATTGAGTATCTTGG